GTAGGGAAGATGGCTTAGCCTCTCTGGCACGAGTTTCCTCATCTGTAATGAGAAGCTAATCATGCCTGCCTCTGTATGTACCAGGCTGTTCAGAAGATCAGAAGGGAAAACAGATGTGATACTTTGTAACTAAGCACTATATAAATATAATATACAATTATCAACATGCTTGGGCACACTTATAAGAACTAAGTGCTAGTGTTCACTAGTTCATGACTACAGTCAAATATAGCTATAGAATGAAAGCTATCATTGGCACTAGAGTTTTTGGAGTTGGTTTCTAGCTGCCACAATTTAAGGTTCTCTGACATTTGGGGGAAATTATAATTACTTAATTTTTGCTCCCCTCTCTCCTTGCAGTGGATAATACTTTTCTGCACTTCTCTGACAACATAAGACCAATGAAGAAAATCGACCTTCATTAAAATTCCTTGCTGCTACCAAATGAGCCATGTTGGCCCATTAGTCACGTCAAAGGAACAGGCATCTCTAGCTCCAAGGACCAAGTCCAGCACAGCCTAAACATGCCTAGCAGGACCACCTTTAGAGGCTGAGGGGTTTTTAGGGAAGAAGTAGGTGGTGAGGGTGAGAAGCCACCATTCATTCACCCTTTCACTCAATAAATATTCATTGTGCCAGGCACCGCTCTGAACACTGGCAATAACACAGTGCTGAACAAAACATTCTCTGTCCTCAAAGAGCTATGGTCTCAGGGCCAGAGGGTTCCAGAAGGTATGCTGATGTACTGAACTAGGAAGAGGAGTGCCAAGGCCTGGGCCTGAGTAGGGAGGCAGGAGCTCTAAAGCAGAAGAGACTCAATTCAGACATGGGTTCTGCCACTTACTGGCCCCTAGAGTAAGCGGAGACATGTTCTTGCAGCTCTCGAACTCTCTATTTTCTAATGAAGTAATAATGGTACCTACCTGCTAGGCTTGGGTGAGGCTCAACGAGTTAATGCAAGTAAAGTACATAACACACAGCCTGACACATAAAGTAAGGGCTCCATAAATGTTCTAAGACTAATATTAGTACCTCGTGACCTGGATCAAGTTTACCCCTCTGCACCTCAGTTTCCTCATAAAATGCAGAAAATAATAACTAGCCGGTGCTATTGTGAGAATTACAAATCAGGAATAATATAAAGCCCTTGACATAAAGGAGTAGCTCACCCCCTTCCAGCCTCACTCCAGGCCCTTTTTAATCAAGCAGGCTTCCCAGGAAAAAAGACTAAGGCTGGGGAGTCAGAAAGTGTGAGAAGGGTGGCTATTTATATTAAAGAGGAAGTAATATTTTTTTTAGAATGTGGTGCATTTTGCACAACATTGCGTTTTGAAAAGTTTCAAACATAAAAAGGTTGGAAGAGCCCAGTCGGAGTGGCTCCCGTCCCATGCACCGACCGAAAGGCTGCCGGTTCAATTCCTGGTACAGGGGACATTCCTGGGTTATGGGTTTGATCCCCAGTCAGGGAGTATATGAAGGCAACTGACCAATGTTTCTTTTTCTCTCTCCCTCCCTCCTTCCTTCCTTCTTTCCCTTCCTCCCTCCTTCCCTTCCTCTTCCACTCCCTGTCTCTAAGCATGTCCTTGGGTGAGGATGGGGGGTGGGGGGGGGGTTAGAAGAATTGCATGGTGAACTGCACCTTTAAGCACATTTTGCTATGTTTTCTTTATTGCATATCTGTCCATCTCTCTATCCATCCTTAATTGATAGTTTATTTTAAAAATTAAGTTGAAAGAGGTTTGAAGACCTCTTCAAATAAAAAGAAACTTTACTTTTCCTCCTGACACAATATTTACAGACCCCCTGAGTCTGTGGCCATTCCAAGCCAAGCCAGGTAAATTCTCAAAAGCTCTGTCAAGCCCCACAGTAACCCCAAGGCCACACCCAGTTGAGGGACAAGGATGGACTCGCGCATTGGAGCTTTCCAGAACAAGGCAATGTCTCTGGCAGGCCTCATACTTCAATACACAGGTACCAGGGGCCATTATAAACACGCAGTAACGAAAACGATGCTCCATCTCATTGACCGGGTAAGGGAAAGCTCCAGGTGGGCTCCCCTGGCCACCAAGTCCGCTCACTGCTCCGCACAGGCCTGGTCTTGTTAGATGCCACTTCTGAGTCACTAGGCTGATGAGTCATGCCCAGCAGGGGAGGCCATCTTGAGAGCAAAACCAAAGAGCATTTTTAAGAACAATCAGTGGGGCCCTGAATTGAAAGAGAACAAGCTTTTTATTGTCCCAGCCCCCCCAAAAAAATTCTTTTTGCAAGAAAAAAACACACACAAAAACACTGCTGTAATATTGTGAGTTAAACTTCCCAGTTGTACATTTTAATTTGAAGAAAAAATGAGCAAAAAGGAAGAAGGAAAAAAAAAAGCTTTTCTATTCCCTTAGAAATTTGAGAGCCAAAGAAATTTGGAGGTTGTGTCCCAAATTGGGCAGATCTAATGAGCTTCCACTTGCCTAGAGCCTCTCCTAGCTTCGTCATTCATTCCCAAAACACGTAGGGTGGGGTGACAGGAGGGTAGCTTCACCTGAACCGCATCATGTGGTCATCTTCCATTAAGCCAAACCCCTGTCTAGTTTGCTCAGAGCATCCAAGTGACCATAAAAGAGGCGGGAGGGAAAATTGCCTACTGGTGGGTGGCGGTTTGTAAGTAGAGTCAGGGCAGAAGGGGGCGGCACAACTACAAGGAAAGCTCTGCAAGCTCTCAAGAAGCCAGGCCACACGGCAAGGGAAAGGGAGTTGATCTATGAAGCACCTACTGTGCTTCAGGCAATCTTTTTATCATCATCACACATTAAGTGAGAACTAATTATTTCCAAGTATTATCTTTAAGGCAAGGACTTTCACAGCACACTGCCTGGGTTTGAAGTCCAGCTCACTAGTTGTGTAACTTTTGTGTAACTCTGAAAATGTTACTTAGTCCGCAAGCGTGGCTCAGTGGTTGAGCACTGACCTATGAACCAGGAGGTCATGGTTCGAGTTCCGGTCAGGGCACACGTCCGGGTTGTAGACTTGACACCCAGGGTGGGCACTACAGGAGGCAGCCAATGGATGATTTTCTCTCATCAATTATATTTCATCTCTCTCTCCCTCTCCCCTCTCCCTTTCTCTCTGAAATCATTAAAAGGACGTTAAAAAAAGGAAAAGAAAACATTATTTAACCTCCCTGTGCTTTGGTTTTTCTCAACTGTAAAATAGATATTGTAAAACAGGGTTATTGTAGAAATTAAATAAAATTAAGATTATGCACTGGTTTAGGACAGTGCACAGTTAGATATATTTTTAAATTGTTTGGACATATAAGCCAGCAATGGCTGTTACATAGTAAGCGGTGCATACGTATTAATTCTTGCCATTCCATCTTTTCAGATGAGAAAAAAGAGGCAAGGAAACTTGCCAAGGGACATACAGCTAAAAAGTAGTAGATCTGGGATTCTCCCTGTCATTTCCTTCTCACCGCAATCCCAGGCGGGAGATACCACTTCCTTTTATTGACGAGAGGTGGGAAGCTCAACAGGGGCCTGGTGACCTGCTCATGTCACAAGTGGCAAATGGGACAGTTCAGATTTAAAACCCACACCTGCTGACTTTAAAGCCGTGGCACATCCCACCAGGCCAGTGTTCTCCAACTTTAGCACAGGTCAGAATTACTGCCGGGCTCATCAGAGCAGATTGCTGGGCCCCACTTCCAAAGTTTCTGATTCAGTAGCTCTTAGGGTGAGGCCAAGAGTTTGCATTTCTAACCAATCCCTGGTGATGTACATGAGGCTGGCTCAGAGACCACACTGGGAAAACTACTGCTCTCTGGTCATGCACCAGAATGGAGACCAGGTACTAGGAGAAGGGATGGGGCCTAAAGATTATAGTTCAACAAGATTTTCCCACTCTGGCAGTGCCAGTTACTTCAAGAGCCTAGAAAATATACCATGTATTTACACAGACTTTCATATTTATGATCCCATTTGATCTTCCCAATATCATTATTTCCATTCAATGTGATCTGTTTGTAGAGACACGTGGCCAGAAAATGGCAGTGTGGGACCAAACCACAGATCACCTGGCAGGTATTCTGTCCACTTCTCCAACTAACTTGTCCTGGGGAGCATTACTGCTGACAGAGACTGACTCCAGTTCCAATCTGAGTCTTCCCAGGGAATGTCACAGGGAATATCACAGCTCAGGAAAGGCCTCTTCACCCCAGCAGGGCTTGGAGGAGGTAATTTCTAACTGAAGGATCTCAGGACCCATTTTACACCATGGCTTCCAGGGCTAGGCAAATCTCCTGCGCACAAATCCTTCCACCAGCTGTTTGCTCCCTTTTCTATCACCTAAAAGCTTCGATATTTGACTAAAATACATTTTTTGGAAAGGATGGAAGCACGTGGGGAGTAAATTTCCACTGGGCACAGCTTGCTCACATTCCCATTTGGAACCACTTGCACTGTTAGATGCATTTTGAAGTTCTCAATAGAAGCCAGTAAATGATTAGTGTCCAGAATATTGAAAGAATTCCTAAGTGGGCAAGGAAAAGACAAATTAC